GGCAGCAGTCCGAATTTGCCCTGGGTTTTTCCATTCGAGGCTTTCGAAGCTTCTCGAGTCTCGAGAAAAGCCCAGCATATATAAATAAATATACAGTGACGTTTTGTATAAGTTTTATTTTCAAGTTTTATAATGGATGATAAAGTGTACAATTCTTTAAAAAAATGTATTTAAAAAATAATGCTCCAGATAGATGTAAGGTATTCATGCTGAATAGTTGTTGTTCGGTAAAAAATTAGGTCCGATAAAAAAACTTGAATACCACGTTTTTCAACGTTCAAAATTTAATTTTTTCATCTGAAACCCAATGCAAATCTCCATTTTTTTTAAACTGTTTTTTACGTAAAATTTTCCGCTTTTTCCGATGGCGAACTTAGATTTTTGATAACTTCATGGAATAACGCTGAAAAATTGATTTTATTCAATAACGTGAATTTTTTTCAGTTTTTATGCAGATGGGATGAAACAGACATCGTCATTGGAAAGAGCATGGAAATTTGACGTCGGTGTACGGTTTAAGAAAAGTTTTATCTAGTATTATTAGAGCAATGATAAAAATTTAAAAAAAAACGCATAATTTACGGAACAGTCCATAACTATGGCTGTACTTGATATTTTTGGCTAAAAATTGATGAGTTAACTTATTAATTGGTAGGAAGTATGCGGTTCAATTTAGGGCAAATTCTGAGACATCGACTTAAAATCGCTCACAGAATTTTTTTATTTTACCCTTATACAACAATTTAAAATAAAGTTTTTAAAACATAAGTTTTTATTTTTGTTGTACTATAGTGAGTTTTCTGTATGAATTTTGTGTAACTTCGTGTAACATATGATCTTAACTTTCTGTTTTTATATTTTAATGTACAAAATAAATGTAGATACGGTAGCCTTTTTTAAAATAGAAACGTATTAACATAAGCTAATGTTTTTCTAAAAATATGTTTTCCTGCAGGTTTACTTATTTTATAAAAATCTTGCATACAATAATATAAGGAAACTTTTGTAAAAAAAATTTTTAGACAATGTTTATTTAGGTTGTATTTAAATGTTTGAATAAATCAGGTTTGCTAATCTCCGCACAAAAACCTGCGGTATTCTGGTAAAATGCCTATAAATGTCTGTGACTTTAAACAAGTGTTGAAACAAGTGTTGCCGGTGAAACAAAACAATTTTTTTAACCTTTTTCAACATTTATGATTATACCTACATAAGACAACTACGCACTGTTAAAGTAAGCAACCACAATATAACATTTAATTGAATCCAATATTAGGTCTGTTATTTAAGTTGTGCAAAAATATGGCAGAAAATTACTAATCAGCAAACTTATCAATACTCTTAGTTTTATTTTTCAACAATTATATTTTAATAACCTAATAGTGACAGATTTTTTTACTGAGGGTCAAGCCCCTACAGTACGTTTACAAGAGACGGGCCACGGTAGTTCAGCTGTTAAGGCTGCAGATCTTGAAGTCTGGCGTATTTATAGTTAACGCGAATATCTCACAGCGCGTTCTAATAATGGTAGAAATCTAAAATTTAAATACGTTGCCAGTATTGTGGTCCTAAGACTACAAAAAACACTTAAAATTATTTTATTTCTCAAACCCGCACTTTTTATATACTGAAATTATTAAGTGTATAAATTAAATTACACAATTTATAGTTTTTTCACATAATTTTAAAATTTCCTTTAAAAAAGTGTTATTTTCGATAAAAATCGATTCGGTATCTGGTTCTAAAGTTACATCGAAGAAAAAAATATATATAACCAATAAAAATATATAGGTCTTATTGGCCAGGATCTCACGAAGAGAACTCCTTTTTTTTTCCGCCGTTACCTCAAAACCCACTGGTGAATCGATTTCCCGGAAAAAAAAAAACTTTTTTATAGAAACCTCCAAAATTTTAAGGTTAGATACGACTATAGTTCACTGAATTTCATAAGGGATAGTGTAAATTATCATAAACAAAGCGTTTAACTATTTATTAAACAGATTTGTAAGTTTTTGTAAAAATCGAATTCATCTAACAATCAATTTAGCGATAATTTAATTTTTTTTCTAGGTTATATCATTTAATTTTCTCATTTACGCATTGGATTTTTATTGGTTAAGGATTTTACGAAGACAGCTATATTTTTTTCTTCGGTGTAACCTCAAAACTCGCTAGTGAATCAATTTTTGTCCAAAAAACCACTTTTTTCACACTGTGGCGCCACCACTCCCGCATAAGTACCTTTTTTTTATTAATTGATTAAATTAAGGTGCATTTGACAAACGATATGAAAAATGATATGTCAGCAGTTTTACTTTTCCTTAACACATTATAACCGAAATTATAACTTTTTCGAAAATTTTAACCCCCTCCCAGTTACATGAAAAGAAGGTCACTTATTGTAAATGTCGACAGTTTGCAAAAAGCTTACAGCATTTCAATCTGAAAATTGAATTATAATTTCAGGAGCACAATATTTACTTCATATTTAAATTCAGCTATCTACAATTATTATAACGTGAGTAATAAAATGAACAATTTTTGCAAAATGGATTTCTGTAACAGTTTTGCTCACGCAGGGCTCAATATTTTCGTCTTTTTATCACGCATAGTTCATAGCTTCTATTTCTTTTATACACTTACAATATTTTTTCTGAATTTTTCAAATATAAAACATTAAAAATAGTCGAAAAGGCAGTAAGAACTATACGATAGATATTCGTGGACCTGAAGCAGCAGTAGTGATTGTGTCTGGGGTCTTGGTAAAGATCATAGCGACTAGCCGGGCATTGTCATCAAGGAGAAAGCTTAAGTTCAAGGGTATAAAAGATCATCATAATTATGACTAAAACAAAAGATATATCTTTTCATATTTTTGTTGTAATACTATTCAATAATGCCCATTTAAAAATAACAACAAACTTTTAAGAGGTAAAATGTTTTGCGTTTTTATTCGTTGTGAAAACAGCAGAAGAAATTTATTTTTATTGCATTACATAATTCAAGTAAAACATTAGAGTTCTTTACTCTTATTATTATGGCGCAGTTCTTTTTCAATTTCAAACTGTCGGAAATCTGTCCTACTCAAAAAATCTTGTTTTTCCAAATAACCACTTTTTCCGCGATTGAAAGTAGATATTTCATCTTGTAAATTATTTTCTTCTTTATACGTGTTCCAATCAAGCTTTGATTTCTCTAATGTCGTTAATTTGGGTTTTTTATTTATAGTTTGTAAAATACTTGATACACTCTGGCTTCCTATTTTCTTTTGTAAAATGGTTTTTGTCAGTTGTTTATACGTTTCTTGATTCCTATTTGACATTAATGCGGTTTTATTACTTTTGTTTACAGTTACCTTTGAGCTATATTTTTTTTCTGTGTCTGCTGAATCTGCTAAGACATTACAGTTTTGAAAATTAGTAGTCATGCTATTCGGAGGTATGATAGAGATTTTTGAGTTCTTTCCACAAGAAATAGCTGCAAAAAAATTTTGAATTAAAAATTGTAGAACTAACAAGATTTTGTTTCTTGTAATTTATTTAAGTTCTAATACTTTTGGCATTTCCGATTAAAAATATTATTACATGTAACAAAAACAAGGTAATAAAAGATTTCGGTAGTTAATTAAAAAAAAATTCATGGACCAGTTAAATGTTAAATTTTAAGTATGTTTCTCTCGTTTCTCCTGATTTCTTGAGGTAAGCTTTATTAAAGAGTACGGAAAATACAACAGGTACATGCTTGTCCCATATTTTTAGATGGCGAAAAAAATAAATACATAATCAAAGAGAAAGACAGAGAAGCAACCGAAGTTGCAGTCGATGAATCGAAAAGATTATGTAAAGTAGAGGTGTAATAAGTGTACGAAAAATACTTCTTTAGAAAATTAATATTCAACTTAGTGAAATAGTCCATATTGAAAATGTAGGTTTTTGGAAAAAAAAAATTCTAAAATAAAAGTGAAATAGCTTCTTACAGAATAAAAATCGGGGATCTGAAATTTATTACGTTCGTATATTTTTTTTGTCTATATAATATTTTTTCACAACACTTTCAAAACTTTTATGCCTAATGACTTTATAATGAAGGTGCCAATAAGATTAGGAAATACATACGTTCTACAATCGCTACGATGAGGTTTTGTATCATACTTTCATTTAAGTGGGCTATATAATATTCATCAAGCATGATAAATATTTATATTTTATGAATAAATTTAAAATTATGTCTTTTTTTTATATTTAAAATTATTTTTTTAGTGTCAGGAGAAAATTCTTCGAAATACAGTAATATGTAAGAACTACGAAATACAGTAAGTTGTAAGAAATCAATAGATTCAATACTGTAAAATAATAACTTATTTCGTGTTTTATGCGAAATCCGTACTTCAATCCTTGCATTATGTTTCTGAAATCTTGGAGAAAATGCTCCAATGTATAATTGTGCATTGTAGCAGTCTCGTTCCCTACACACTGGATGATAAATTTAGTTACTCTAAGCCCCTTGGCTGGCTATTGCTGCATAAATATTTTACCCCAGCTTGCTTATACCTGAAAGCAGCAGATTTAAGTTGTTGAGAAAGTGAGATTATTTGGAGGATGAGAAAAGGAGTTTTTAACAGAAATTTTATAAAATTTCTAATCGTTTCATGCAAATCTCTTAGCCAAAAAAGTAGTTTTTTATTTACAAGGAAGAATAAATAATTTGTAATACATATATAAGACTTATGTATAATCTAGGGATTGAAATAATTGAACAGAGGAGTAATATGCAACTGGACTTTTTTCATGAGGTAACAGTAAAAAGTAGCAGATTAGGGTGATACATAATTCACTCAAGTATATCCAAGAAATAAATCCAGCTGTCTCTTTTTTTACGAGCAACCAACGCACACGTCGATGTGAATAAAATATAGTGCAACTTAAGTATCAACGTGTACTGAATGGAGAACGTCATTAGTATTCAACATTTTATTGATACCTGTAAAGCTGTCTTTAAAAGTATTTCAGACTATATAAAATCAATTTTCATCATATGTTGAACGGAAGTTCTTGAATGTGGAGAGTCTAACATCAAGTTTTTAGCAACATTTTGTACAAAATCTGAAGTCCACGGATCACGTACTTCTATGTGATAACGTAGAAAGAGATTAATATAAATTTAAATAGTACATTTAAAAATCGTATTCAGACTGCTGTGATTAAGGATGATAAACATTTGGATTTGGCAACTCTTAACTCTGCTGAGGAACAATTTTGTTTTAAAATTGCAAAAAACTATGAAATACTCAACACTTTCAGAATTACTACTATGCTGACGGCAAAATTTGCCATTGCAAGAAATGAGGATTATTTTTCCGTCAGATGGCGATAGTGGGCTCATGTAATATTTTTACAGAAAATTATCTGTATATTGTATGCATATATAGTTATAGTGGAAATATTACTTGGGCACACTATCGTCTGATACTATAGGTCTGATTTTGTGCCTTTTTTAAGTTAGAAATACGTGCGAATGTCCCGTAATTTAATATTCAGTGGTATTAAAACTCCAGATTATTCGTTAATAACTTTTTTTACGTGCACCTAATCGACGTAATTGTTTTACATAATTATTAGGCAGATATTAATTTACTGTTGACTATAGTTTTGACCAAATCTGACTGTTTGTATTAACACTTTCTATTACAAGAGTAGCTTTTGACCATCACCCATTAGAACGAACGTTAGATTCACAAAACTTTTTTCATCACTTTTTCATTTCATTAACATCCAGAATTGTTGAAACAATGCATAGATTGTTTTATACATTTTTGAAGCTCTGCACAGATTATAGTCAAAAACTTACTATTAATTGATTAAAGGAGTCAACCTCCTTAATCTGAAAGTGTTTTTATTACGATGGAATAACATAAATGGTTCAAAATCAACGTATTACAACCACTTACTGTTAGTAGACAGAAATTTTAGCAGCAAGATTCTGGTTAAAGTTTACGTACCATTTTAAATTGAGACGTAAATTTTAATATCACGCAGTGAGCGATAGCTTATATATTGAATTTCCAAGTTCTATTGTTCAAAAAAAAGCTTGTGCAAATATTAAAAAATTGATAGAGAATTTTTTTTGTGGGCAATTTTATCCTCCCTCCACAATGCGTGTTAAAATTAAAATCGAGTTTCTTGTTACAAAAAATATGAGAATAATTATGATTCAAGTGAAATCACCTTTTTAGTAGAGCCTAAGCAAGTGTTGAAATTAAAAAAAAAAAAAAACAATATTTTAGCTAATATTTATTTTTTTATTTTTTGACTTGTTACATCCAAACTTATAAGTGAAGAGCGAAACTCGTAGATTCGTTCTACAAATTAAATAAAATTTTTGTTTGTCAGGAACCAGCGGTCGGCCCAAAGGCCTTACTTGCTCTTACTTATAGTATGCTTTCCTACTTAGATCATTGACTCAGCTTTGTGATGTTAGGTTACACAAAGTGATTACGTATGAAACGTACGTAAGTGTGTCATACGCTGAACTGACGTTAACATACTATGTGAATTTCAGTCTACTGTAATACAGTAGTTGCGTACTTTAATTTAAAAAACCAAGTTTTGTTTCATCTAATGATTTAATAAATTTAATGAAGCCGAAAATAATCCAATTTTACAAATAACTTAAATTAAAAGTTTTCAAGTAACAGCGTTGTAACAAGTTTTAACTTTTCTTAACTCAACTTACTTCTATGATCGTTGGTAAGTCACTGCTTACGCGTACGCAGTAGTAAGATTTTATAAGACAGACTACAACGATGGTTCTCATCCTACACAAGTGTACTCGTGGTGATGATGATAACTAGGCTGCAGCACTTAACATCGGAACTCAAATTGATAGTCATTTCTTTCTTGTTCCTTTTTATATGACTTTTAAAGCAAGTTTATAGTAGCCTAGTTTGCTCAAACTCAGTCTTATACTTTCTTGAAATGTACGCTTTAAACACGCAGCTTAATTACCGAATTAAGTCTTAGGTTTACTTCAACGACGCAACTCAGCTCACTATTTGACCTCCGTAGTTACACGGAAAGAATATTGGTATAAAAGTTCTCTATTGCAGGGCACTTGCTATTCTAAACTGGAGTAAGGAGACTCTCACTGCTTGGAAGACACACTCTCTCACGTTACGATAGCCATAAAACTATTGAGCAGACGAATTTTCTCTTATTTTAAAGTGCGAGCAAAGTTACTATTAGGTGAATGTGATTTTAACCCTTTATCGACCGCAATGCTGTTTCTGTTATACTATTGAAAGTACAAGCATACAGTTTTGAAACTGGCAGATTTAGAAAATGTTTATTTAATATTATTGACAACATTTTACTCCAAAAAGACAAAAAAATAAAAATCATTGAGGACAGTCTGAAAATACTTGAAGTTTCTTACTTTATTGATATTGTTTACTTGATTTTATATTTTGTTACGTTATTAATATAAGAAATTCATATTTTAGACCAAGAAAAGAAGACGCCTCGACCCTTTTTTTTAAAAAAAAGTGCGGAAGTTAGTTCGTCACCTGTTTTAGACGCTTTTTGCAGTCAGTATCAATAATAAATTGTTATGATTGACTCAATTTATTTATATATTTTTTTTCAACCCGATTTTCTCGATTCGGCATGAAAAAGTACTTATCTGATTGTAGCATTTTCCCTGTTCGGTTAATTAAAAAATACCTTGGATGGAAAATGTAGGTATTTAAAAGATCTACAAAATGAGCTGCGATGGTTAACAATCGGAAAATTGCTTCAGTTGCAAGCAGCGAAATACCGCTAAAATAGCGGTTTTTTAAATTTGTTTCTAACTAATAAATAATAAATCTGGAACGTCCAAAAATGCATAGAAATAAAAGCTCTTAGATGGCACTACAACACTTCCAAACCTAGATGTTGTACGTTTAACCGCTTTCAAACAGCAATTATTTGTAAAAGAGTGGTTTTTTGGAAATTAATTTCTTTAGCTTTAACATCTCTCGTAGAATTATTCCAATTTTCGCAATAGATTAATAGTATAATGAGCTGCTAAAAAACGTGTACTTGCAAATTAAATACTATCAACAATTCAAGTGTAATCTTAATTGAACCTTTTCTATCAAAAAGGTTGAATAGTTTCCTAAATTTAAAATGAAAGATGCCCTACAACCCCCAGAAGCAAAGATAATTTTTGTTTTGTTTCAATTCTCACGGCTTTGTTAATTAACATAAGCAGTTGAGGTTTGGACAAATTACTCTTATTAATACTTTTATTTCAAGGAAACAAATATTAAATAATCGTTTACTGCCGATTTTCACTGAAAACACAACGCAAAAGTAAGGGTTACTTGAGTGGTGACTTTCTCGACCGGGGCTCGGAAGTACCCCCCCCCCC